ATTCGTGTGGTTGGTTTAATGTCCAATAAAGTAAACTGAGTGCGAAACTTGGTCACAATCGCATTAATTGTTTGCTCACTTGGTCGATTATGTAGACCATAAATCGGACGTAAAGCGAACCGAACACTGATTTTGGTAATAAAATTCAATGATTTGCAAGCGTTGCTCGTTAGTAAGTCTATTCATGATGAAATGTCAAAGCATACTGAGCATCTTTCTCTTTGACACCATGTCTGAAATCCCACGTGATCTGTCAAATACTAATGCATGAAAATCCTAACCTCAAAAAAATCACCCGTTATAACAAACAAAATATAAATCCACATTTCAAACTTTGTGCAAAAGTTATAAAAAATCTGTAAGGTTTCAGCTAGATTTTCAATTTTTTATTCAGATTTTTTAGAATTTTTTTGAGTATGCAGCTTGATAGCGCATTAAATTATAATGTGCAAGTTTGAATGGGCTAAATAATCGCGTTGATTTTTAATAATTATTTTTTTTTCTTGTAGGCATTTGGTTAGGGGGTCGGTTATCGAAAATGCTAAATTCCGTTCTACTAAGAAGGAGCATAGCAATATTTCAGCCTTTTTTGCGTTCGTTACATCTTCAATGAAGTCTTAAAAAAGTCGCCTAGTTTTTTCTGACTTTTTATGCCGCTACAGCTTTTTTGACGCTTTTGCGAGCGTGCGTGTTGCAATAGATCGGCTCTTCCTGATCCGGCTTTTAATGTGCAATTGCAAACATTACAGCAAGCCTCGTAACCTCAAGTGTTTACAAACCAGCCTTTGAACACGGGATCCTTAGTCCAAGAATCCAAAAATTCTACTGACGATAAGGGTCCGTCAAAAAGAAAAATTACTGGGAAGTTAAAAATCGTAATTTTTTACACAAAAAACGTCCAAACGTCAACGGGATACAAAAAACGTCCAAATGACGTTAAAACCGTCAACCTGGTAACGCTGGTCATAGTACCGCGCGGCAAACTTAATTATAATAAATGCGGAATAAAAAAAATTACTACATACAAAAACTAAAAATTAATAATAATCATAAACTGATCAAAATATCAAAGAAAGTGCTATGCCGTCTAAAACGGGGATTGGAAAAAGTGTGAAAAATATAGCTTGTGTACCTGTGTATAAGCAAATACAAACGGGCATACGTACATATGTACATACATGCAAATATTCATCAGAGTATGTATATGCTTATATATGTCTGCTCATAACCCTATGTACATACGTATGTCAACATGCGGTTGAAGAAAAAGCGAAAAAAGGTGATATCGCTAAAACTAAAAATCGGAGTAACAGCAAACAAAACGCACATGAATCAGTGATCTACTTACATGTTACTCAGATGTGATACTACAAAAATTCTATGCTAAATGCAAATTTCCCTAAAAACTAGATACCTGTCATATACATATGTATATGTATTTTCACTTATCAAACTGAAAAACGGAATTTAAAAAGCAAAGGAATATAGCTGTGAAAAAAAGGTAACTAAAACTTTAAGTACAAATTGAAGAGAACTCAAGAAACCTATGCAAATGACCATAACTAAGAAAATGACAAGAGCTGATCGCTGTGTTTCCAGCGCTGCTGCTGGTCAGTGGCGTAGGCGTAGCGCCCCACTTATGTATGCTCCCGCGTCGCTGCTACTGTTGTCTCGTCTCTTTCTGCTGTTAACATCCCTTTCCCAGTGGCTATAGGCCTGCTCCCACTGGAAGGGCGTTGATGTTGATGTCACTTGCCGTGATGTGATATGATCCGTGAATAGTGTGCTGTGCGATTGATGTGATGTACTATGTATTTAGGTGGCTTTTGTTCCATTGGTGCAAGTGAACCTATGTCGCTAGTACGTGCGGATGTGTGTTAATGTGCTTCCTGTGGCTCGAGGCTATTGGCAAAGATATTCGCTGTAGGTATGTACCAGTGTTGCCAAACATGGCCTTTTCCTTCCAAAACTGGTAGGTTTTTTTTCTATTTGGTAGGTTGGTAGGCTAGATTGGATTTTGGTAGGTTCCGCGACAATAATAGTTATTTGCGAAAAATATAAAATATGTATCTCCAGACATTTTAGCAACCTTGTTTACGAGAATAGTCCACCATTGTCCACCTGACAGAGACTTCATTGTAAGCCTTGAAGAATATCACCAAAACTAACCTATTGGTCTTTCTAAAGCCATTCTTGGCTAATATCGAGTTATCCTTTTAAAAACCCTACAAGGTCAGAATTCCTGAAAGGGACTGCTGTGAAGTGGTAGTAACTATGATTGACGAAAGGTGCCAAGCATGGTATACCGACGGATCAAAAATGGATGACGAGAGTAATGGTGCAGGCGTATTTTGACCAAAATTCCAGAAAGTCTAGTCTTCGCAATCGAAGCCTGTGCAGAAGGACAAATGGGGCCAAATTAAATATTATGTCGAATAGTCAGGCAGGTTAAAGGCCTTAGACTCTTTTAAAAAGGCAGCAGATTTGCGGACCACTTGGAAGCTCACAATAACGTAACGCTGTGGTGGGTTCCGGGACATGAAGGGTTTGAAGGCAACGAAAGCACGCAAAGCGTGCAAAGCCCAAATGCACTTGCATAGCCCCTAGCCTTTTGTAAGCTAGTGGAAGAAACCTCAGAGCATATACTATGTGACTGCCCACGTATCATAAATAGCAGACTGATACACATTGGGGAACGATTGTCTTCTTCATCCAAAATTTTAAACATGGCGCCCTCCAAAGTGCCTAACTTCTTAAAAATAATAAGGTTGGAGTTATTATAATTAGGGTTAAGCACAATAGATAGATGTGTAAAGAGACAAACATTTGTGTAAGTCTGTACAGTAAACTGAATTGTTATGCGTTGTTAATTTGTTTTTAATTTGTTTTGTTGTTAATTTGTTTTTATTGTACTATCTGTGTTTTAGTTTTTCTAAATATTGTGTAATCTACATTTTTAATAAACTTGACATAAAAAAATATAAAAAACTTAAATAAAATTTTGGTAGGTTTTGGTTGAGTTTGGTAGGAAGTTTTGTGCGGAGATCGTTGGGATAGCGCAGATTTCTCAAAACCGTGTTTTTTTTTTTTTGGTTGACAAGCGAGTGGAGGTCCTTTCGCCTACATTAATAAATGTGCAGGCGACCTGGAAGAAAAACAACACTCTCACTTAGTATATTGGCTAGGGCAGTGGTTGAGCGGTTACAGGGTTATAATTTTGCCTTCCGCTTACATAAATGTACATAACTTTGGTGACTGGGAGGCGTACGTACACATATGTATGTATATGCAGATTTGAATTATGGCATTAAGTGGTACTTACCTCCCGTTCCAAATTTGACACTTTATTGCAGCTTAGTGATCACCAGTGCCACAGATCCGTAAAAAAAGAAAACGCACAATTCGCACAAGTATACACCGATGTATATACATATATAAACTTTGTATATTTTAACACCTTTTTTTTACTTTTGATAACTTTTGCCACTAAAAAACCCGAAAATAATAACAATTTCTTTTAGATCCGATCACTGGATCATGAACAAATTAACGGTATTCCTAAATTTATATATGAGAATTGAAGTTGGTTATGTTTTTTGCTTAAAAATTACTTATTTAATAAAAAGTTCTATAAACACAAGATGCAAATTAAAAAAAAAAAGAGTTTTAATGATAATTTTCCTCGATTTCTGGTCGCTACGCTAAATTTTCGTCGCCAAAATTCTCTAAATTAAAAGCGGTGGGCCTAAAAGTATACTGAATCGAAAAGTAATAACTGTAATGTGTAACTAATCAGCCAAGTCTGGCTTTGGAGATTTTTGGCGATCAAAATCAGCTATAGTTAATGCTGGAATCCTGCTGCAGGTTTTCGATGGAGAAGGTGCTTTTTAAACTTTTAATAGCTGTCAAGAAAAGCGAAAAATTCATATACATAAAATTACGCACAAGAAATTTCTTAAATCCTTTATTAAAATGAGTTTGCAGCTCTCAAGAAAAATGCTCGTTTACTTATTTCTTCAAAAAAATTTACAGCAAAAGGAAAGTTCTTTTTCAAGCAACAGAAATAATAATAAATATTTCTTGTGATTTTTCATGAGAGCTGGATTCTAAACTTTAAGATACAGTTCGTATTTGAGGTTATTAGCTTTAGGGGGGGTTTAAACCCCAAAACTCACCCCTTGTGTGCGCTAATGCAACCGTGTATATTACTGCCGAAAAATTCCGTTTCTCATTATCTCCATTAAAAAATAAAAGCATTTTATACAGTATATTACAGAAACAGTTTTGCAGTAAATTAAAGGAACTCCTGGTATGGTTCACATAATACCAGGTATTCCTTTATTGTATGTATACCCCGAGACAAAATGATATGTCTAACAAAAGCATGTATGTAAATCAAAATTTCTCACTTTGTACAAAAATTAGAAAAATTCAAAAAAAGCTGCACAACAATATTCTAGTTTGAAGTTTGAATACCGTTGATCTTTGATTTTTTCTTGCGGACGACTTCACGCATTTTCTTCGATGCAAAGATACTAGCTTTGTTCCACACGCTTTCCGGGTTGCTCCGGTAATTAGAGCGTAAACATACATAAGTTACTCTCTCACAAGTGTCAAAACGTTCCAAAAGTGCCCAGATCGTGAGAAACACAAAAAACCACATTTCGTGCCCGGAATAAGCAAATGAGATCTAAACAATGCTGTTTTGGGCACCCACGAGCTTTTATTGAACGAACCTACTATGTTCGACAGTTTGTTTTATATGGAAGAAAGTAATAACACAGTCGGCAAAAAAATAACCAAAAAATCAACGCGAACTCTTAGCCTATTGAAACTTGCAAGTTAAAATGCTACAAAACTGCATACTTGGATTTTTTTTTAAATTATGAACATAAAGTTTGTTGTGGAATTTTTTTTTAATTTCCATACTAAGTGTATTTATGTATATATGCATGTACATCTTTCTACAAACCTATTATTTATAGCGCTGTACTCAACAGATAGTTTTTCAGGTCGTTACCAAGCCGCACTTTAATTTTACTCGTGCAGCAATATTTCAAAACGTTACGATTGCGGCCTGGGATCCAGGAAAGTATAACTCTTCCCTTAGCGAATGGACTACGACGGCGGACTACGATTTATTTACAAACTACAAGATATACCGTCGCAAATACCCGAAATCACGAGCATTCCTCATTGATCCACAATCAGTGTGGCGACTTTGGCAAAGCTTGCAAATATTTGTCGGAAGCCGCCCTATCCGCAAAAATCCACCAAGTTCTGGCTTCATTGGTAAGATATATCCAAATATGTACAAGTAAACGAAATTTCTTAACGTACTAATTTTTGTGCAACACAGGTCTCGCCTTGCTGATGCCATATTGTCCTTACATAGACTTTATTGAATACATTCCCTCAACACGACTAAACGGTCGATGTCATTACTATAGCAAGGAGGTGAGAAATCTGAATTCTCATTAATTTACAGCCAAATGGACAAGAGAAGTCCCAAACTGATAATGTATGAAAATAAGCGTGGTCCTTAAAAAAATCAAATGCACAGATATCACAAAAAATAAACTTTCGCCCCGGTTGGGGATGGTTGAGGCGTGCCGCACAGGGGGCAATGTTCAGATTCCTCTATAGAGGCTCAAACATTTTTTTTTATCTAATACCTAAAATCGATACTACCATAGTCGAAGATATCACATATAAATTTTGGTTCGAATTGGAGTCGGTTAAGGCGTGTCGCAAAAGCGTCAAAAGCTAAATAAAGAATGGAATTTCAAAATTCCAAAATATGCCTAACGGACTTCAAAGATAGTGCCGAAAAAGAGATTATTATTATTATTGTTGGGATAGAGCACTGCGACATTAAGATCTATTGCGCCCCCTTCATGGATTATAGTGTGTCTATTAATCCAGTATCCGAGAGACACTTTAGTATGGAACCTAAATCTACGGATTTTACTTCGCCTTTGGTTATCAGATGTTCACCCAGGTGTCTTTTGCGTTTATGCTTCTGTGCAGGACATTCTTCTAAGATGTGCTGTGCAGTCTCGTTTTCCGTCCTGCAAAATCTGCATCGCTTATGCGAGTAAACTCCCAGTTTAATCAGGGGATAGTTCAGCCTGCAGTGTCCTGTCAAGATTCCTGTAACAATTCTTAAGTTATTCTTTGATAAGCTCATACATTCCTTGAAGCGTTTTAGGTTATATGTTCCTACAAGTGCTTTGGAGTGCTCTATACCTGGTAGATTATCCCTGTAGCGATTTCTCTGAGCCTCTTCCTCTAGCCGAACAAGCTCAGATAGTTCCCCTTTTCCCAAGCCGCAGAATGGCTTTGGGCCGGTGAAAGGGGTTGATGCACCTCTCTTCACTAGTTTATCGGCAATCTCGTTTCCTTTAATACCAATATCTCCCGGAATCCAGAGAACCCAAACCTGATTGGTCAGAGCAAGAGTATTCAGCTTGTCGAGGCACTCCATCGCATGTGGCATCAAGTGCGCTGGTAAGTATGGCACACAGGAAGGTCACAACAAACACGCCGACCCAGCAATATGAACCGTTTGTGCTAAGTGTGGGTCGGGCACACTACAGCAGTTTAGATGTTACCTGGTGAGATCTGAGAGCTTTGATAGCCGCTTGGCTATCAGTCATTAAAGTCCGCGTATCTTTCTGTGGCGTATGTTTCAGCCTGGAAAATAGACATATGTTTTCCCATGGGTTCCGAGGATCTTAACCTAGGTCCTAACTACCCCTACCCCGGTACCCTCGTCGGTCCATGAGCCATTAGTGTACCAGGTAATCATGTTTTACTTTATCCGATATGTCTCGGATATGCCTGCCCAGCTCTTCTTATTACTCAGATCAGTTGTAACTTTCAGTTTTAAACTTCTATGTAAAGCTGAACCTCGGATGCAAGGTATCCCTCGGTATTACAATTTCAGGGAACTTATTCGTAAGAATATCCAACTTCCCACGATTAAGATACCCTGCTGCCCCGATATTGGTACCAGTCATCCGTAGTAAAGCTCTTTTCGCCTGAGTCTGTATGTGAATATGAAGAGAGACAAGATCTAAAAGAACCTCCAAGGATGCGGTTGGACAGGTTCTCATGGCTCCCGTTATGCATACGCATGCCAGCCTTTGTATCTTGGAGATCACTTTGGGTGCTCCATGTCGTGAAGTTCTATCGGCCCAAGCTATTATGGGTCGTACTATTGTCGCGTGGATCTATCTCGGTATCTTTGGTGTGCAGTCCCAACTCTTTCCTGCCATGGACCTACACGTCATAAATGATCTTACAGCTTTATTCACAGTTTCTTCCACGTGAGCTTTCCAGAGTAGTTTTTGGTCTAGTACTACTCTTAGGAATTTAACCTCTTTTTGGTACATAATGTTATTTCCATCTAGCCTTATCGCCTTTAGACTATCAAGTTCTTATTTCCTTGCGAATGGTACTATAGTGGTTTTTGCTGGTTTTGATTTGGATTTTGCTTTGGTTTGTTTTTGTTTTGTTTGTTTTTATTGTTATTATTCTCCATGTAGTTCCCACGAGTGAAGGGGTCAAAACTGTCCATCGTGTCATAGCCCCCAATAATACTGTAAGCCCACCGTTACTCCCTGAGGCGGGCAGGTCTCAGAGAGATGCACCGCTAGAAAACAGTCTGAGTACCCCCTACTGCAAACCTGTCCGATAGACACGGGCTATCTCGGATTAGGGGGGGGATTTAATGACTCCCCAGTCAGGATTATATGGCGGGAGGAGGGAAGTTCGGATGGGGAGGGATTAGGGATAAGGACGTCGGTGCGGTGATCTCGCATGGAAACCAGAGTGGCTAGTATCACGCTTACCCAGCGAGCGAGGCTGATACAGCGGCATCAGGTCACTATACAAGCTTCCCTATTAGTTCGTGGTGATATGTCGGTGGCCGAAGCAGGCAAGGCAAGGAAACCGACAGTGATGAAGCAAAAAAGAGATGAAAGTACCACAAAATTAAAATTGCTTTCTTTAAAGGGCCATTCTATTTTGAATGGTGGGACAGTTTACTCCAGAATGGAATGTCAACAATTGTGAATTATAGCTATGTTGTCGGATCTTATACAACAGCAAAAGATATTGCCTGGTGGCACACTGAAAAGAACTATATTTGACAAGCTTTTATTTAACTTACTCTGTAAGTAGTATGTTTGTAAGTATGTTTGTTTGGGGCAAATCTTGTAATCACTTTTTGACCTCAGAACCCAATGGCAATGCAATACGAAAGTTGAATTAATCAGACAGGTGGCGAAAGAGTCGAGATAATTGAAATCCCCGAATTTATAATCCGATTTGCTTCAAATTGAGAACGTATATTTCTAAAGCAGGGATCACACGATTTCTATATTTGGCTTAAAATTTGTCAAATGCATAGACAAATCATGTGAACGCTAAATTTAAATTGTCATTTATCACAAAAGACAAATATTTGTCTTCTTGTGGCAAATCAAAAAAAAGGTCTGATTTGCCACTTGACGACAAATGCCAGTGACAAATATATAAAAAATTTGTTGAGCGGTATTGCCATTTTGTTAAATTGTTCGTGCTTCTGAAGCTTTGTACTTTCCAAAAAAATCATGTTATTTGAAAACAATAAAGGTATCCACACACCTATGCGATTCTGTCGGTGCGAATCTGTTCCGACAAAAATTACAACAATTCCGACCATAGCTTTAAATGAGGAACCACACACTTGTACGATTTTGCTGCAGCGATTTATTCGAACATGTACAGTTCTCCTTTTCGTCGTGCCGAAATCGCAGACTGCCGCGTTTTGAGAACGAAAAAGGTCAATAGAAGGATTTTACAATATTAAAACAAAATTGAACGAAGGAAAACAAAACATATTTGATGTAGAAAAGTTAACAATTTTATTTTTGTTGAAAAATATTTTTTGTTTGTCTATAAATTGACAGTTTTTACTGCGATAAAATCGCACAGATGTGTGCGTACTTGCGTTTTTGAAGCAGTAACGTCTTTAGCATCAAAAACGGTGCGGATTCGTTGCGACAGAATCGCGTAGGTGTGTGGATACCTTAATTTCAAAATATTTGTTCAAACTGAACATTTGAAAACATGTACATATGTACATATACGTATTCGACAGTAGCTGAGTGTGCAGAGGAGCGTGCAACTATTTGTAAGCTTTCATGAGGTCCCAGGTTCGTATGCCGGCAGACGAACATATTAAAAAGGATTTATAAAAATATAATACATTGCTGAATATTATCTTGTTTATGCCGACGCATAAAGCGCTTTGATCCACTTCGCCGTGATTCAAAACGGATGCATAAACTAAATTTCAATACGCTCTGAATTTCAAAAGTGGGTTGACTCGAATTTGATTTCAAATCGCTTTTTTATTACTCACATCGGTTAGAAAACAGGTATAAACACATCACGATTTTGACGCGAAGTGAAAATAGACTGGTTTACTTTATGCAGCCCGCTTTAAATTTGAATTATTATTAAAATAAATTTGAATTATTGTTCGCTTTCATTTCGGTTAATCGCGCAAATAAATTATTAGAGAAATATCGAAATAAAACAACAAATTTTTTATACTTTTGAATACGGTTTCAGCGAGTGCGCTGTAAAGACACAGGTATAAACAATCGAAAGAAATATGTGTTGAGTCAAATTGGTTTTTTGTTAATGCGGTTCTTGCGTAGGTATAAACAAGGTATATAATTAACTGTGAAAAGGCATATGTGAAGTTCAGAATGAAAAATTTCAGAAAACCAACCAAAAAAGAATTCGTTTCACAACCATTCTGGGCACTTTACTAGAAGAATGTTTCTGCCGCACACTTTAGTAGGAAAACGGGTAAAGGGTGAACACACCAAAACTGCGACACTTTGGGAAGCTTATAACTTACCCAAAACGAATTCAATATTTTGAAATTCAAATACCATAAGTTGACCATGACCTTAGTTGAACGTAGAAGAAATTTCATTTGAATTTGATTCCTAGTTGAGTTAAAAATGGCAACCGAGCTAGAAACGAGACAAACCATTTTGCACGAGTTTATAAATGATCCGGCCTTAAGTACACGTAAAATTGCTAAAAAATTAAAGAGTGCACTATTCGACAGTTTGCAGGGTTTTAATCGGTACAAATAAGGCCTGACAGTTACGAGAAAACCAGGGAGCGGGGGTTAGCATGGTCAAAGTGATAAAAACAGTGCTCGGAAGGTCCTCAGTGCGTTTTCGCGAGATCCGAAGATTTTGTCGCGTTATGTTGCAAAATCCGTACGGAGATCGCAGTTTTTCGTACAAAAGGTAAAGCGGAAAGCTTCATTGAGATGTTCTACAGCTCAAACAGCGCCAGACCGAGGCGCAAAGTAGAATGTTACAGCGAAATCCCGCATTCGGAAGTTGTATGAATTCTAAATTAAAAAATACAACTGCATTGTTATGGACTGCGAAACCTACTGCTATAAAAATTCAAAATATATTGCAGGTCAAGATTTTTATACTGCTGCAAGTCGTCAAGATGCCCCTGAAAGTTGTAAGCTGAAAATGAAGTCCAAATTTCCAAAAACCACATGGTTTGGCAAGCTATTTGTTCCTGCGGCCGTAAGAGCAGCCCTTTTTTCCCATCCGGGACAATGAATGATCAAGTTTATCGGAATGAGTGCCTCAAAAGGCGTCTTCTAGATAAGGAGTAGGCCATCGTTCTAGGCGGACAAGGCAACATGCCACTATGCCAAGGACACATTGTCGTGGTATAATGCAAATAACATCAATTTTGTACCTCACGACTGCAGTCCACCCAATGCTCTGGGCTATTCGTCCTATTGGGGAATATTGGTCAATTGTCAAAGGAATCTTGAAGAAAACAGGTGAAAGAGTGAAAATTATTGAAGAGTGCAAAACTAAGTAGTGGTGCGCATCGCGTAATGTCGATGATGCAGTCGTGCAGAACATGATGGCGCGTGTGCGATGAAAATACCGATCACTTGCATATGGAGCAAATAATAACTAATATTTTAACATTTTAATAACATCTAAACTTCCAAGTTATATAATACAAAAAAAAATAATTTCAAAGCCTTCTAGTTTGTTTCTGGTAGTAATTTCTAAGTGTCGCAGTTTTGGTGTGTTCACCCTTTAGTCAAAGTATCCGAAAATGGAATCCGCTTTTCATGCACCTTTCTTTCAATTTCGGATCCATTTCCGGATTTTTTGCTCGTTGGGATATTAAAGACTACATATCGTCACCTGACGTAACAACATCGTAACTGAAATGGAAAAAGTCGTGACTACTCTTTTTATTTTTAACCGACTTCAAAAAAAGAAGGAGGTTATCAATTTGTCGGGGTTTTGTTTTCTGTATGTATGTTACCGCATAAATTTTAACCACGTTAACCAATTTCGATAACTCTTTTTTCATCGGAGAGGTGGTACCTCAAGGGTGGTTTGTTTAGATCCGATAATTGGATCCTGAAGAAATTAACGACAATATTAAATTTTTATATGAGAATTGAAGTCGGTTTTGTTTTTTGCTTAAAGATTACTTGTTTTCTTAAAATGATGTTGGAGTTGTAATTCGATGAAATCCATGATGGAAAACTGAATTTTTGATTAGTTACGACTTTTTGTATTTCAGCGACGATGTTTGTTACGTCTTTTTGCATTTCAGATGACGATATACACATACATATACATACATTAGATAAAAATAATCTTGACTGAGTGTTATTTTGTGACTTAGCTATTATGAAATCGTATTTTAATAAGGGCCGTTAATTTATCTAATGGATAATTTTCATATATAAATACAGTTTTTATAAAATATATTACTACGAACTTTCATTTTACTTAAATATTTTATTTCTCTTTCATGCAGATGAACTCGGCTTGCACTTTCGGCGCTTGGCATCCCTTAGCTGCTGAAAAGCTAATGGCACTCGATATGAACTTAGCAGATGACATGTCCGTTTTTCAACATGGAGTTCTGCGCATACGTCGCCCAGACAAGCTACTATGTGGATTCAATTTTCTTGGATATTGATCGTGCAATAATGTCAACATCGTAATGAGGAAATATTTCTGAGCAATAAACTTCTGAATTACGGGCTTAATAAATATTTACATATAAAAAGCGTAATATACCAACTAAACCAGCGCGCTTCGCTACACCCTACAAATTTTATACTTATCACAAATCTATTAAAATGTTTGAAATAAACATCTGAATTTATGTAATGAGGAACGAAAGCTTATTGTAATGCTCGTAAGTAAACGACATCCTTGATTTGCCTATAAAAACTAGAATTGGAAATTCTTCTTGCTATATGCTTAGCCGAGCTTCTCCTCCAATTTATGGAGTGCACCTTGATAAATGTTGCCACACATGGGCTTGTGGCGATAAACGCCAACAATCAAACTAAATTCAGTTTACAAATCAGGTTACAAATCAAACTTGCGAACTAAGTTTGTCTGTATTTATATGAAAACTCGTCAAAGTTTACGTTATAAGTTTGTATTGCATACGAAATCCGATCTGGTAGCACCATCGTCATGAAGAAGAAAATTAATGGGAGTCGAGAAGAAGAAGGTGCAAGATAGAAAAGAAGGCTTTTTCAGACAGCAGAGAGTAGACACGTATTTTTAGTAAGCAAACATTTTTTTTTAATAATTAGAGCGAATAGACATTTTTGTGGATATTTCGAGTAGTGAAATATAAATCCTGTGTTTCACTGATTACGACACCCACAATTTGGTGACCTTTCGACTTTTTGGATACGAAGCAAGATTCATTTAGTCTGCTCGCTTTTATTTGCTGCATATATAAGCTTGCAACATTTTTTTGGCGAAGCTCGCCATATACGTTTTTGTTCAAAAGAACAGTTGTAACGGAACGTGATTTTTAAAAAAGCGAATCTACACTGAGGGAAATAATGCATAGTAAAAATGAATACTTTATATTTGATTATCGTTTAAAAATGTTCGTATTTAAAAATTTTTCAAACAAAATTTATTACGCACTGTAGCAGAATTACGTCAGATTAAGTGTTTTGTTTGTATGGCAACATTATATTTGTAAGAGAAGATTTGTGTTATCTGGTCACACTGTTTGTAAGCAATCATTTTATACACAAAATGGTTTATTGACTAATGCCCTTTTTAGTGCTTTTTTTAACTAAAATTTCTGAATTTGCAAGAATCTACAAATTTAATGCACTAAAATGCAAACCATGATTAATAAAAAGATGAAATTGCAAACCCACGTTCTTGTGTTCTTGTAAAATTGTATTCGCGTTGAAAATGCTAGCACGCATATAAGTTAAGTATTTATTTCTTTATTTTCTTGATTACACAGTTCGAAAAATTTTGTCTCTTTTTGCCACCTGAGTGCATCGGTTTTTGTAGATTTTTCGGTGCTGAATCCAAAACTGGCTGCAGAATTTCTTTACCATGTCAGAATTTTGAGATATCCTAACCTCTAAGTGTAAAAACACGGTTTTTCGCAATATTTGGAGTTATATTATAAAACAACAATTATTTTCGCTCATTTCTACTTAGGGTATCATTAAGTATTACTCTTCCCCTTTAAAATTTAATTTCGTTTGTTGCGATTCGATTGTTTTTTCTCCAGATGTACCAGTTTTAACGTGCAGTACTTCATGAATGGGTATTTATCAGACAACAGCATGAGTTTACTCACTTCCATCTAAACAGTATCAACTCATTGCTGTGAACTCTATAAGGTTAGTGAGAAACACCGTACAAACAGTGAGATTCATAGTTAGTTTTGAAATCAATTTTTAGCTGCAGTGTACTCATTTGATTTCAAATATGGCAAGCGAGTGAAAAATGCTGTTATGAAAAGCAAGTCGAGCCATCGAATGACACCCAATGACCTCAAACAATTAGTAGAGAATACGACAATTTTGAAAAAAGTGGATATTGATGAAGTATTTTTTTAAATATATTAGTTTTACTAAATTATTTAGTTATGCACCTGACGTACATTTATATAATTAGTCTACAAAAGAAATGCAATGTTACCTCAGAAGACATCGGCTTTATAAGGGACTTGAAAAATAAGTTGCTTTATTATTTAAAAACAGTTGCTGTTGAAAACTAACAGATTGTGCTTTTTTTATACCCGCCAGCAAAGGAGCTCAAGAACTTTACCGAATCTGAGCAAAGGTACACAAAAGAGAAATGTTTACAAAGAACGTTAACTGAGAATTCTGACAGTACAACGGAACCACAAATTGCGGATACACCTTTGTTACCTTCAGACAACTTGAGCTGTTTTCAGGTCTTCTTAAACAACCTACCTTTGTGAGCAGAACATATAAAGCTACTGCAGAGCTGCGGCGATATGAAAATATTGAGGTATATTTTCATACGGACTTCGATATAATTAATTGGTGGGAGGTACACAAATGCAAAATGCCGCTGCTGCATAAACTCAGTCGTAGAGTAATAGCCACTCCTTCAACTAGCGCATCGTCAGAAAGAGTTTTTTCTTCTGCTGGAAATGTTATTTCTGACAAAAGATGCCACCTTTTGTCAAATGATGATGCCCTTAATCAGTTGATATTTTTGCATTATAATATGCAGTTAGGAAACCAATAAAATTAACAAAAATTGTCTTTACAAATGTTTTTTCTTTGATACTTTCATTATGCCATGCACTTGTTTTTCAAATCAAGAACTTGTTCTTTGAATCGAGCTCTTGATAGTGTGAATTACTCACTCAACCGACAATGTTTTTTCAATGATATCGCACGTTATGTTTGGAAATAAATTAGTGCGAGTGTGTGCAGATGTGAAAAGAAAGCGAGTGACTTAAAATGTAATTTGAGTGTATCCATGCAGCTCTCTGGTATTTATTTATACATGTAAATAGTGTTTATTTTTTTCCTTTTGTTTACCACAAACTGTTATGAAAAAATAGAATCCTTTGATTAAAAAAAAATTTAGTGCTTTTAGTACGGTAAAACGCTCTTTTTTCCAAGGTTTGGTGCTTTTTGAAATTCAAAAGTTGGCAACACATAGGTTTTCTATTGTTAAAGCTGTCATTCCAGCGGGAATGTCAGCCTATAAAAGCGCGATCCTCAGAGTGCTATACTTACTTTGTCGTGAGCTGCGCACTCGAGAGGTATGTACATTGTATGTTGTAGTGTAGTATTCTTTGTTACAAGTACAAGGCGACAGCGCAAAGCTGGTCACTTGGGCTATAGCAAAGATTTCAGGTAGTGTTGTTGTATGGAACAAGGCGAACAGTGCAAAACTGGTCACTTGAACTGTACTTTGTTTTGTAGATGCGGTGTTTTAGGTGAACAGCGCAAAGCTGGTCTCTAAGTGGTGAACTGCAATGCTTATAGTTGAATAATATGAACTTTTGCTATTATTTAATTATTTTTAGGTTAATTACCTACGCAAGATCCCTGACAACTTTTTCCTAATAAATTTTACAAACACAAATTATTACATTGGCGCCCAACTGCGTTGCCAAATTTTGAGTGGCAAACGATTTAACATTGTCGCGTAAAATCGTGGCCAACCTCTCGAGTGACTCTCCCACTCCGATTCGCCGAAGCGAACGTATTGCAAAAAATCATTCTAATAACATGACGACTTTAACGAATGAACAGTTTGAGAGGCTTTTGCAAGCCGTCAATAACTCCAACTCACGACCTGGCTCGTTCAGTAATTGTTCTGCTCGTTTTAGTGGCGAGCGTAGTTGCACAAAAGTAGAGGAATTCACTGCTGCAATTTCTACATTTAAGTCAGTAGAGAAAATAAACGATGCAGATGCGATTAGCGGTATGCCTATGATCCTTGAGGGTGATGCAGAAGAATGGTGGCGCGGGGTAAAATCAAAAGCCAAAACTTTTGATGATATTGTATGCATGCTACGTGAAGCATTTTCCCCTCCAAGGCCATCTTGGCGCATATATGTTGAAATTTTTGAGAATAAACAGCAAAAAAATGAGTCGACGGACACTTTTATTAGGAAGAAACCCGCACATTTCTCCCAATTAACTAATGTGCCAGCCGAAGCTGACCAAATAGACATTTTGTTTGGGTTGTTGCATGTGCAAATCCGAGATAGGGTGAACCGTCCGAAGATCTCTAATTTTGAAGAGCTGCTAAACGAAGCTCGTGAAGCCGAGCTGTTTTGGCAAGAACGCAAGCAGAATGCTGCAAATGATGGTCAGCATAGTAGTGTAAGTGCCCAAGCGCGCTGCGGGTACTGTCGTAAGAAAGGTCATAGCATGGATGTATATTTCAAAAAGAAAAACGAAGAGGCCAAAGAAGCACACGTTGCGAATATAGCACAAGCAGTAGCTCTGAAACCGAAGTTTGCTTGCTACGGATGTAATGCTCCAGGGGTGACGCGTGCCAACTGCCTTAATTGTAGACAAAAACCAACAACAACGTCTGATGTAGTCCATTTCAATTCCTTGTCCACTTCTATCGGTCGGGACATTCCGATTGCAAGTGTGCAACTTTTCGGAGTACCTGGCCAAGCGTATTTCGATTCGGGAGCTCGAACGAGTGTGGCTAGCACAAATTTGAAGCGTATCATGGACTCCAAGGGTTACGTATATGAAAATGTAAAGTGTGGTGTTACACTCGCCGACGGCAGCTCGTCGCTGCAGACTTGCCTTTCTACTCTCTGCAAAATTGTTATCGGTGGGCGATGTTTAAACATCCAATTTATTATTTTACCGAAAGCTACTGGTAACCGAACTCTGATAGGCGCTGATTTCATGGAACAAGCTGGAATTGTCATGAACATGGGCCTGCGTTACTGGTATTTTGAAACAAATCCAACTACCCATTTCGATTTTGCTGACCCGCTGCCAGTAGAGTTAAATCTTGTAGAAAGAGTCAAAGTATGTACGACACACCAAATGCGCAAACCGGAGGAGGAAGCAAGAGATCGACACATCGAAAGTGTATATGTCCGACTTTGAGTATTATGGACCGGACGTACCAAATGATTACTCTCCGCACACTATCCAAGACATATTTCGCCACGCTATCCCTCCAGAAATGGTCACACCTGAACGATGCAGAGATTCTGGTTTATTTAAAGGTGTTGTTTACAACTACAAGTCGATAGATTTGTTTTCAATCGATTTCCAGTTTATTAAGGAAACGGAAAGTACAGAGCTTAAAATACCTGAGAAGATGCAACTCGATAAAGTTTTGCAAATGCATTCGGACGTGTTTGGGACATCATGTGAGCCAACACCAAATGCGCAACACTTCATTGACACTGGAGATCATGCACCAATTTCGTTACCACCGTACCGTTTGTCTTTCCCGAAGCTGCGAGAACTCAAGGGTGAGATAATGAAGATGCTTGAGAACGATATCATTGAGGAAGCTGATTCGCCATGGTCATCACCAGTGGTGATGGTGCCTAAGAAAGACGGAGGCACGCGCGTTTGTGTCGATTATCGGAAGATAAACTCGATAACCAAGCCGGATCGTACCCGTTACCCCGTATCGACGACCTATTACACTCTGCCAAAAGTACAAAGTTTATGACGACATTAGATCTACAATGCGGATACTTCCAAATAGCGGTTGCAGAAAAAGATAGGGACAAAACGTATCTCATAACACCGTTTGGCACATATAGATTCAAGAGAATGCCTTTCGGACTTCGAAACGCCTAATAGATCGTTTCAAGACTACGGTTTCGAATGTACAAATACTTGCGTATCTTGATGATATAATTATTTGTTCGCCCTCGTTTGCAGATCATCTGAAAGATTTGCATACTGTCTTTGAGACACTGGAAAAGTTTAAACTGCGTGTAAACCTTGCTAAGTGTCGTTTTTGTTGCGCCCAGGTAAACTATCTCGGTCATGTGCTTACAACAGACGGCATCAAAGTCGATCCGGATAAAACTTCTGCAATCACTTTAAGAAAGGAGCCTCGTTATATAAAGGACTTGGTCTCTTTCGTGCAAACATGTTCCTGGTATCGCCGTTTTATAGATCACTATGCAGAAGTTGTAAAACCGCTTACAGACCTCACGAAAAAGAATGTTGAATGGCAATGGCGCGCACCACAAATATAAGCGTTTAACAAGTTAAAGCAATTGCTTGTCAACCCTCCTGTTTTAAGGCAAGTGGAAGACAATGCTCCCTTCACTATTAAAACCGATGCGAGCGCTTATGCATTAGGAGCTGCTCTACTCCAGGGGGAGAAAGAAAAGGAACACCCCATAGAGTATGCTAGTCGTTTGCTAACATCAGCTGAAAGGAATTATTCCACGACAGAACGCGAAGCTCTTGCACCAACCATTGAAATGGCTGTTGAGCATGAAAACACCAACCGGTCGCCTTGCTAGATGGGCGTTATAGATACAACCATACAATTTTCAGATAGACTACACCCCAGGGACATGCTATCGAGACCGCCGTGTGTTGCAGAGGACCACCAATCCTTCAACTGTATATGTGCTTTCTATGCAGACCTACCGCGAAGGAAATCAAGCGAACTACGAGGGGAACCACTCAAAGATGAGTACCTAGCGAAGATTGTAACTTCATTAGAGCAAAACGATGAACATATCGCCTTATGGTTCAATCGCGAATATCTCCTCAACGATGGAGTGTTGTATCGCTACTCCAACGATGATGCTGAAGAAGCACAACTTGTGATACCGACTCATGAGCGCGCAAATATCTTGAGACTTTACCACGACGAAAGTACTGCAGGCCATTATGGTGCCGAAAAAACCATAGACCATATCGGAAGACGTTATTTCTGGCCAGGAATGCGAGCCGAAATAACCAAGCACGTAAGGTCATGTATCCAATGTCAACGCTATAAAGCCACGAATTTGAAGCCGATGGGTTTACTTCAAACAACGAGTAGCAAAAAAAGGTTCGAAGTTGTAGCTGTCGACCTTTTCGGTCCCTTACCCAGAACCGATGATGGATTTCAGTGGATATTCATAATTGAAGACGTAGCCACTAGATGGGTTGAACTATTCCCTCTGAAGGAAGCAACAGCGGAAACTTGTGCAAAAACCCTTATCGATGAAGTTTTCCTCCGATGTGGCGTGCCAAGACGTCTTAAATCTGACAATGGCGTACAATTTGTCTCATCAGTCATGCAGAAAATAGCGTACAGTATGGGCATCCAACAACTGTTTACACCCGTGTATCACCCCGAAGCCAACCCCGTGGAACGCAAGAACAGAGACCTCAAAGCTCAGTTGGGAATACTTGTCCAAAATCAACATAAAACTTGGAACACTAACTTAGCCTCTATACGCTTCGCAATGAACACTACTAAATGCCAGACGACTGGTTACTCCGCAGCGTTCCTCACTTTTGGAAGAGAACTACGAACTTTTGGTGACGTAAAGCACGATGTTAGAGCAGTAACAGAAAGCGAGAACTTCATTCCTCAGATTACCACATCTAAAGAATCTGGTAGACACCTTCCGGAACGCAAAAGAAGTCGAGCAAATGATGCAAGATCGCAACAAAGCATACGTTGATAAGCGCCGAAGATGCCAAGATGATATTGAAGTAGGAGCTGAAGTCCTGGTGACCACACACGTACTGAGTCAGGCGGCTAAAGGCATCACTTCCAAATTTGTACCAAAACGTGACGGACCATATGTGGTTGTCCCAAAAATAGGCTCTTCGACCTTCGAAGTTGCGAACAAATCCGAGCCAGATGTACCACTAGGAGCTTATCACGCATCCGCTTTGACGCTATACAAAGGTAGCAGCACGAACAAAGATTCACTCCCAGTACAACCTATCCGAAAGAGAGGAAGACCCAGGAAATCCTAAATCTGTTGATGACGTTCGATGGCTCCGCTCACCAAACATCAAGGGGGAGGATGTAGCAGAATTACGTTAGATTAAGTGTTTTGTATGTATGGCAACATTATATTTGTAAGAGAAGATTTGTGTTATCTGGTCACACTGTTTGTAAATCTTGTATCATTTTATAAGCTCTTCATGTAAGCACTTCACCACATAGCTTTTCTATTGTTAAAGCTGTCATTCGAGCGGGAATGTCAGCCTATAAAAGCGCGATCCTCAGAGTGCTATACTTACTTTGTCGTGAGCTGCGCACTCGAGAGGTCTGTACATTGTATGTTGTAGTGTAGTATTCTTTGTTACAAGTACAAGGCGACAGCGCAAAGCTGGTCACTTGGGCTATAGCAAAGATTTCAGGTAGTGTTGTTGTATGGAACAAGGCGAACAGTGCAAAACTGGTCACTTGAACTGTACTTTGTTTTGTAGATGCGGTGCTTTAGGTGAACAGCGCAAAGCTGGTCTCTAAGTGGTGAGCTGCAATGCTTGNTTACTTTGTCGTGAGCTGCGCACTCGAGAGGTCTGTACATTGTATGTTGTAGTGTAGTATTCTTTGTTACAAGTACAAGGCGACAGCGCAAAGCTGGTCACTTGGGCTATAGCAAAGATTTCAGGTAGTGTTGTTGTATGGAACAAGGCGAACAGTGCAAAACTGGTCACTTGAACTGTACTTTGTTTTGTAGATGCGGTGCTTTAGGTGAACAGCGCAAAGCTGGTCTCTAAGTGGTGAACTGCAATGCTTGTAGTTGAATAATATGAACTTTTGCTATTATTTAATTATTTTTAGGTTAATTACCTACGCAAGATCCCTGACAACTTTTTCCTAATAAATTTTACAAACAAAAATTATTACAGCACGTACCCACCATGCAAAACATGAGAAATAGGCGACAATCGTCCATGGCAACAAATTGGCGACTCGCCGATTTATTGCCGTAGGGAGAAATCGGAAGCATTATTTCTTTTATGTCATTTTAGGAATATGTTTTCAAAAATTCCCAGACTGATGAACTCCGCGTCAACAGGATTCTTCAAAAACATATAATTTATGCCCAAGAAAGGGTTGAAAAATTAGGAAGCTCCATAGCGACGAAAATAGTTAATTTCGTTTACAAATTATAAGTTTGAGTTCAAAAACAAATGAAACATTGAGAAATAATAAAATTGTTGCAAGAAATTATTATTTAAATATCGCTTGTAGCAATAATAAAACGACTCATTCAGGTAATAAGAAAACGACTCGCCCAGGCGAGTTGCCTGTGGCGGACGTTTTAGAGCGACTGGTAATAAGAAATCGATACGATGGCGATATTGCCGGCAATAAATTTGTTGCTTAGGGCGACAAGTTTTCTTATGTCCGGCAACAAAAATTGTCTGGTGGGTATTTAACTATTCACATCCACGATTGAGAGAATACAAAGGTTGCGCCGATCTCGGACCGCTATTCCTCTCTTAACGAAATTGACAGAATCGTGGTTTGCATGACGTCACACTGGTGCAACTTGTGCGCCGATCTCGGACCGCTATTCCTCTCTTAACGAATTTGACAGAATCGTGGTTTGCATGACGTCACACTGGTGCAACTTGTTTACGTTTTCCTTGCAACATTTTTTCTTCTTCTTCCATTCTTGCTCACGTTTTGGCATTTCTCTCTCGCAATTGCACCAGTGGGACGTCACACAAAAGTTATTCTCAAAAATCCTCTCTGATCGGCGCAATCTTGTATTCTATCATTCTTGGTTCACATCTGAGTATGTATATGTGAGTGTACATACGCACCCAAGCATGCAGAGCGCCGCTCTGGGAGCGTGACAACATACACACATACATACATAGTACAAATCGCATGCTGTAGTGTTCAGAGAACGTTTAAAACAGAGAAGCAGCAATTACGAATAGCCGTGTGAATTGTCAAACACTACCAAAATCGCTCTGGAAGCTCACCACTCGAATCGAAAATTGAGAGCGGAAAATTAACAGATCTGAGCGGCAAGTTAACAGAGCTGAGCGGAGATACAATTTTGTTAATTTGTATCAATGTTAAGTATTTTGGTTTGGATTTTCTTTTTCGCGGCATTGATTTAATAAAAAAAAGATTAAAATTCTTGGTTAAATTAATGAAAATTAATTTACTAAAACATATGCCAGGGAATGCTTTAACTCCAAAACGTAGAATTGTTATCTAATAAATATGTGAAAGCTATGCAAATATGCAAACTCATTGGTGATTTGCCGTCGGCATTTGGGTCGCAAAAATGGTTTTTTTTTAACGATTCTTATTGTAGTTGCTGCGCTATTTTCAATGCAACAAACCCCAGTTTTCTAGGTGCCTTAGTTTTTTCCCAAACTCACTTTAAAGGTGGACACATTGACAAAAACGTACAAAAGCAGCAATTGCACTTGTTAGCAAAGTGGTTTTTCTCGAAAAGTTATGTTTGAGTTTTATGAACAGTTATTTCGAGAAAATATGCCATATGCATATAACCTAAGCAAATACTTTTTCTTAAAATCTCAGACCTTTTACTCGATTTGTTCAAATAAATTTAAGTGAAAGTTATGAAATTTTAAGTAAAAGCAATTGCTTAGTTTTTATGCATACGGACCAATGTGTTGAATGATGATTTTTCACTGGAATACTCGTATTACATGTAAATAATGGGGCTTATTCATGGTCAAAATAAAGTTGACACTAAAGTTAGTTACAGCTTTTTCACATCATTTTCAGTGGAATAGGTATCTGTGAAAAAGCTGCAACTAACTTCCTATTAGGCATTTTAGTACACACAGATGCGATCAACTAATTAGCAACGAAATTCAAAATGATATTGTTTGCAAATTATGTTTATTTATTTGTTTTTAATAATTTCCTTTAAAACATTATTCAATCTATAACAGAAACCACAATAATAAAAGTTTAAAAGCTTGCACAAATTGCATAAAAATTAATCAAACTTCAAAAAAAATTGTTATCAAGATTTCAATTTTTTTATTTTGAAATTTAGAAAATTTTCGGGTATGCAGCTTTGCAGCCCATTCAATGAAGTACACTAAAGTGCAAGTTTCTAGTCATTAAAAATTACCGTTGAATTTTTAGAATTTTTTTTGTGGAGGGTGTTCGCATTTTCTTCCATATAACACATAATCACAATTTTTTTTGTATGAAAAAAAAAAACAGCAACACCCCCACAAAAAAAAAAATCTATAAAATCAATGGTAATTTTTAACAACTTGAAACTTGCACTTTCTTATACTATAATTGAATGGACTACAATACTGCATACCCGAAATTTTTTTAAATATGTATTCTAATTAAAAATTTGGATGACCATTTCTTGAAGTTTGATTCGGTTTTTTGCAATTTGTGCAAGCTTTTAAACTTGTATTATTGTGGTTCTTGTTACAGATTGAATTATATTTTAAATTAAAATCATTAAAAATAAATAAACATAATTTGCAAACAATATCATATTGAATTTCGTTGCTAATTAGTTGATCGCATCTGAATGTA